CAGCGCTGCCAGGCCAGTAATGTGTCGCCCCCCGGCTGAGACAGGTCCTGGTGCTCACCAGGAGGTGACAGACCTGGGAGCGCTGGCCCAGCTCCATGTCACTGTCCCTGCTTGTGATGCAGGACAGAGCTCAGCAGCCACAGTTGTGCTCAGCACCGCTCCGCTCTCCTCCTCGGCAGCGATTCTTGTGGGACATGTAGCTCAACAGCCCCATTTCCCAGAGACTGGCAAGCTTCATCAGCCCTGGCAGCCCCTGGCAGAGCAACCACCCCAGCAGCTACCCCATGCACTCCTGGCACTTGCAGAGATGCATTTAAGCACCCTGAAGGTCCCTTTAAGCACACTTAAGATCCTCAGGTTTCCTAAAGCCCTCCAGGATCCTGATGCTTAGTAAGCCAGAGCCAATACTAAATAGAGGAACACACAAATTGCAGAATTTATGATGTCCCCTCCAGCAGATTTTGCACTGGACATGGGGCTGTCTGCTGGGTGCTCTGGACAACCCTCAACATCTCATATCCACCTGCTGCCAACCCAGGGCCTCCCAAACCCAACCACCACTCCCTAAACATGGGCAATGGCATTGGGAGGGATGGATTAAGAATTTAAGCAGGAAGGGGTTGGCACGCACATGGCTGAGCCTCAATGGCGTGGAAATATCCCCTCCCAGGCATAAAGCTTTGGGGGTCACCAGGACACTGCATTCCCCAAACTTTTTCACCTTCTGCCACAGAGACAGGGACCAGTTTCATTGCCAGACGAGCCAACAGACTGATACATGACCCAGCCAAAGGCAATTCCTTGCACACACAGTGGCTGGGCAAAGGTGGCGGCTACCGGATTTGCCTGGCGAGCTCCCTTGAGCCAGGGCCACGGCAGCAACGTGGCACTGGCCCGGCACAGCCCTCGCAGCTACGGCTGAGCCAGCGACCGGGACGTGCAGTGCAAGGGAGGCTCGGCGCAATGCTTAGGGGCAGGCGTCTCCTCTGGGCGCTGCAGGTCTGCAGTGGGTGACTG